AAGAGCCATACTTCTGTCCTCAGTTAACTATAAAGTATTAGCCGGCCTATACTTATGCTCCAGGGTGGGGGGAGGGGAACACTTTAATTAAAGCGCCTGTACCATCACGTGTATTCAGTGTCCTGCACTTAAAAATGGAGGTGGGAGTGCTTTAACTAAAGCTCATTCAACAAGCTACAGTGAAAGTGCCCCCACAGCCATTTTGAAATGCAGGGACACTGAATATATGCAATGCGGAGGCTGCTGGTGCATGCTAATTTGCACGCTCCAGCAGACTCAATTGATTGAGTCTGGTCCAATTCATGCAAATTACACACGTGACAGAGCTCTGCTTCAACGCATGCTAAGTGCCCTTAGATCTTAAGACAGTGGTTCTCAGTCTTTATAGACTCGAGGCACCCCTCCATAACTTCTGTGAATTGAGCAGCTACCCATTTCAAAACTAATTTATTTATTACAGTGCTTATCTCCTTGAAGAGGGTCCAGACAGTGGGGGGCAGGGAGAGCCTGAGTTTGCCCTTATCTGTTTAACTCCTCACACTTCCTGAGATTACAGCACCCCAGGATGCCCAGGTACCCTGGTTGAGAATCACTGCCTTAAGATCATGAAACTTTCACAGATTAAAAGAACTATTTTAGAACATAGTAAGGTTTTTTTGGTTCTCTCCAGCCCCTGTACAGGTGAATTTATGGTAAATAACACATTTACTTTTATAGGTGACCGAATATAAAAATGTGTTCCAGGAACATTTTAAAAAGTGTGTCCAACATTTTTGAAATGTAGTTTATTTTTTGTATATGTAGAGGACATGAAGTTGTAGGTGATGTATGATTTTATTAGCAGTCTTCTCTGATCACTTTTTAATTCCTAATTTACTGTTTGTCAATATTGCTACCATTCTAAAACCTTTTCACTATGCTACGCTCTCCTGAATTTAGTTAACTAGCTTTTGCATCTAAACTAAATCCCGTTTCGTCTGTGAACTTCAGGAAGTGTTGAATCAGGCCTATGGAGAATATTAGAAACCACAAAGGGATTCATAGATTAAAAGGCAGCATTTTAATTCAGAGGATAATGGCATGTCCCTTTACAACCTCAGAAATTCAGCTGTGTGCTTAAAAGCTGTAATTATATGTATACATGTCCTTGAGTATGTTCTGTTCACTTTTTTGCATAGGGGATTTTGGATGCAAAGGACTTTTGCAGATAAACTTCCATTCAGATGTCTGGCCCTCTAGGGCAAGTGTGTTCAGTAATTTAAACCACTTATTTTTTGTCTATGTTTGTAGTGCTGAAGAGGTCTAGCCTTAGCCACATTCTTCAAAGCTAATTTCTACTGGCCAAAAAACAAACTATGGAAGTTGAATTAATGGTTAAGAGTAACACTATATTTTACAGCTTGAAGTCTAACCAAGTGCTAATTAGTTCAGTGGATAGAAATAGACCTGACGCAAAACAGTTGCGTATGGACTAGATCTATATGAAATGTCCTTTCTTTAAGCTTAATCGTGTTGGTGTCTAGTTCTTTTTTGGTTAAATGCTTAAGACATATAACAAACACTGTAAAGCTGACTTTCCTGTATCAGTCAGACCATATCAGACTTCAAAGGGATTTTATTAATGTGTTATGCTAAGAATCTTCCTTGATCTGTTGAATGCAATAAATGAAATAGTGAGTATTTGTCAATGCCAAAATGTAACCATCCAAACTAAATACATTTTGTAATATGAAATACTGTATACTTTTCTATTAGGAACATAATGTACACATAAGCAAATAATATTTTAAAATATTTGTCTTCAGAACAAAAGTTAAAATTTGATTAGGATGTCCTTTTACTAATACTGATGTTTTTTCCAAATCTAGTTGCATCATACATAGATCTCCTTGTGAGATATTTAGCAGGTGAACTTGTTAAATAATAGGTTTAATTAGGTATTGGACATAAAATGTAAAGAGAAAGCAATCTTTATAATGTAAATTAGAAGACTGTCTCATTTTTTGTTATCAGATTCTTAGCAGAATTGAAAGCCAAATTATTACAAGAAGTCAAATTAAATTCTCCGTCAAAACTCAGAGAGAATAATAAAGAGACTGAACTGATAAAAGATGATGTTCATTTCATGGAGAATGGTCCAGTGGTTGTGAAGGTGAGACTTATTTTTCTTAAAATATTTGTTAATGTTGTCATCTGGAATTGTATAATTATGGAGGTAACAAACTAGGAGTATATCTTCAAGCAAATAGGTAAAGTTATAGTAAGAATTGTTTTGACTTGTTAATTTTAAGAGACAAATATTTTCAGAAGAAAACAGAACTGTTAATCCATTATTATGCTTTTGATATATTTAAGACTGATTCAGCCATCCACCCCTGTTCAGTAAACAGTTAAATACATGTCTAACTTTAAGCCTGCATTATATCTTATTAACTTGAATGAGTACAAAGTACTTTGCTGAATAAGATGGACTTAAGCTAGTGATTCTCAACCAGGATGAGGTATGAGGAGATAAAGAGGCTTGAAGGGATAAAATAAATGCAGGCTCAGGCTCCTCTCTGCCTAGTCACTGCCTGGCCCCTTGGACCATAATAAATAAATTGATTTTTGGAATGGGGTGTGTCAAATCAAACAAGGGGTGCCCAAGTCTAAAAAGGTTGAGAGCCACTCTGTTAAGCATACGCTTAAATACTCTGTTGAATTGAAACCTACATGTAGTTAGTGTAAATACCATGAAAAAAGATGAAAGGATCAAGCTTCAAAGACTTTCTAAGGCATGTGTGTGTGACTTCATTTGGATACTTTTCTTGTCTTCCTGCTAGCTAGTCCATAACTATTTCCAGTTGTATTTTTTAGGGTTGTTTCTGAAAAGCACCACCAGTGGTTTACAATACTAGTAAACTGTTCCTCAAATGAGAGAGCCTGCAATCTTTCTTGATTTTTCAAATTATTATCCATATTACAGTGGTACCAAAAATATGCCAGACACTTTCCAAAAAAACAGATGAAAACACAGACGCCTCCCTGAAGGGGAAGTTTGAGGACTTCTTTATTAGTTGAGTAATCCATGATATGTAGTAATATTTTAAAATATATATAAGTGGAAACAATGGGAATGTATGGACAAGCTAATGAATCTCTAGAACAGTATGAAAACCAAGCAGCGAGATGCTGGGAGGAAGGATGATGGTGCATGGGAAGCTATTTTTGTTCTAAAGTAGTCCCCATACTGGAAAAGTAGGAAAACACAATATTCCAGAAACTGCACTACCCTGAAGGACTACCATCAACTTGAAATCCAGTTGAATGAAAAGTGCTTTTAGGTGCTGACCCTACTTCTAGATCTACTGTTAAATGTCATTTTTAAACAAAATTACCTATTTGCAAAAATGTTTTTCTCTTTTCTGTTGCTAGGCAAGACATATTCAAACTTAACAAGAGATTGACTGACAGTCAAAAGTAAACTGTGTACCAGGGGCTGTCAAATACTTAAGTCAAATGAAAAGCCAGAGAATTTTGTTCTCTAATTGCTTGTGCATAGAATAATCGTAGTTGTGCCTTCGAAGTGTAGTTTTAAGATTTTCTTTCCCTATGCATGATGTGGATAAAGAAAAGTTTTTTTAAATTCCTGACTCCAGCAGGAGTTTGAGGAATGAGTTCCAGTCAGCCAGAGGTAAATTGGGCAGTTTTGAGCCCTGGATAGCAAAGCACAAGGCAACAGTCACAGCCAGCAGAGGGGCTGTAGTGGCTGCCATTTTTACGCTCCCCCCACTAGGTAAGAACCTGGGTCTGGTGCCCCAGTCACCCCAGATACGCTACTGAAAACAGCAGTCTGATGTAGCGGGTTTCTGTCTTTCCCAGGACGTCACTACTTGAATGAAAGCTTGCAGTGAGGTTGTTCTGCTGATGGCATTTTGGCTGGAAGCTGATGGGCTACTAAGTTTGGATTCTGTAGCAGGTAAGTGATATTTTCCCCTCTCCTTCCCCTCTCTAGGGTCTAGCGAAGGTAGATAGAAAGGGCAACAGTGCTAGGGCTGAGTGTGTGGGTGGGAAGCCAAGGACACAAGTGTGACCGCAGCAGGAAGGAAGCCTCTAACCAGCCAGATACTTGCAACTGTTCTGACACTTGCACGCAGTGGGTGGGGGTCAGTCTCTTTCTGCTGAGCATCTCCTGCTCTTTTCTTCCCTCTGGTGACAGTGGCAGTATGCTTCCCACTCCAGAGCCATGATACCACTTGAGACGCACTGTGGGGAATGGGAAATCGGCTAGTGAGCAGAGCAAGCATAAAGCCATAGACTTTCAAGGGGGAAAGGCCCTTTCTGTTTATATGTGGAAGTGGCTGTTTAGCCTGTGTGCATGCTTGTTTCATTTGGCTTCCATCCTCTAGTCAACCCTAGGACTCTAGTTCTTTAACAGTTATGTAGCAGGAGTGAACTAAGGGAAGCATAGGAGACAAATGCCACTCTAGAAGCTTGCTAGACCTTAATTTGAGAGATGGGGGAAATGTCACTTGCCTTTTATACCATGCTGAGACTCTGAATCCTATCTGCTCTGGCCAATCACCATCAGCAGGGAAACCTTAGCCCTGGGGAAAGACGCCTGGGAGAAAGAGAATATTTTTTTTCATTAAGCTATTAATTTTAAGGTTATTGGTTTATTTTTCTTAATTTTCAGCTGCACGTAAATGGTTACTCAGATATGATTGGCATATTACCTGGTCCTTTTATTGACACTTTTACAAAAAAGTTTTCAACTTATTAAATGACAAAAGGTACCTTCTTGAAGTGGAACTGGTAGAGTGATATGCTCATTTATTATTGTTAAAAGTAATTTTGCCACCTCCATACATTTGATGTCATCTTTGATGTTAGGATTGAGAGAAAACTGAACTTGCAATTCTAAAAATGCTTCTTTGATGGCATGAAAGGACTTAGAGCTTTCAAAGTAAAAACAGTGATAGCATCCAGTTTTGCAACGCACTAAGAACCCAGCTCTTACTGAATTCAATGGGAGTAGAGGGGATTCAGCACCTTGCATAATAAAGACCAGCTTAAAATTAGCAACAAGTTCTGTCAAAGTGTCTGTGTGTTTTGATGTAGTATCTTTTCCAGGATATTGAAAAGGACAAAAAACCCAAGGGTGTAAAGGTAAAGGGTGCTAAGGTGAAAGGAAGGAAACAGGAGATTCCAGAGATGAAAAAGACTGATCAAGAAGATGCAATGACTCAGTGGACCGATTCCTCACAGATTCCTCTGAGTTTCCCTCAAGAGAGTAAACCTATGATTGCTGATGCAACAGCTAGTAATGATCCTAGCATCATGAAGGAAGATCCTTCACCTGTGGTGCTTTGTGCAACAATGCCTCGCATCAATCCAGTATGTGGGAACCTTATTGCTGCAAACTTCAATTCACACTTCCCCCATTCCAATACAAGGTTAGTGGTTTTTTGGTGTGGTAGGGCTAAAGGAGACAGTTGGCACTGAAATGAATCTGGGTTCACCTAGTGAAATGAATAATTGGTTCATTACTGTATTGCCTTCCTAGGGCTAGATGGACAGGACAGATGTGACTCATTTGTGAACTAGGGATAATATTTTTTTTATACCATTATCACAAGTTAGTTAATGTTGGTGAGACATTTTGCATCTGAAATGTATTCTTTATTAGTATTATATGGCAGCTTGCAAAACACTGGGATAAACACTATCTATGCTCTGACAACAAACACATACTGCCACCAACTAATTTCAAATGCATTGTTTATATAATCAGGACATTCAGCACTGGACTGACGAATTATTTTGTATATAAAACTACTGATTTGAATAGGCTTCCTGAAAAAGCAAAGAAAAGGAGGAGCCCTTGGCAGCCAATGGGACAGACTGGTCCAAACACCAGGCAAGATGATGGACCTGTGACTCAAGTATGTTTACAGACCCAAACATTTAAACATAGACTTTCTTGATTTCATGCCCTCATCTATTTCTCTTCTTTTCCTTTTGATTAGGGATGTAAATATTGTTTTTAAAAAAACCTTCTATAATTATATTGGTTAAACAGTTAACTGATAAAACAGTAGCTCGGACACAGCTGCTGCTAGGAGCCATTCCCTGGGCCCTTGGACAGCAGGGGTGGCAAGCCCAGCCAGACCACACAGCCTACATGAAGCCCCTGGCTGGGAGGGAGGCAATACCTTTGAACAGCAGCTAATTGCTAAATTGAGTTGTTAGGCCCCCTGCTATTTTCCTCTTTAACCTCAGGCTATGGGTACCAGTCTCCGCCCCCCACCCTGCCACAGACATTGCGTGGCTTCCTGCCACAACCCC